AAAGAATTTATTAATGAAATATATTTTTCATTTAAATAATCATGTAATTATTTACTAACTAGTCTAACTGGATCTAACCTCACATAAACTTACCTAACCTAGCAAAATAAAAATATTTTCATTTGTCCAAATTGTAATTTATGTCTGAAATCAGCATTAAAAACTACATTCAAAAGTGTATATCATTTTATATTTGAACTCTTGTCTGTTTGTTTGTTTAATCGTTTGTTTGTAATTAAGCACAAAGCTACACAGTGGGCTATCTGTGCTCTGCCCATCACAGATATCGAAACCCGGATTCTAGCGTTGTTAGTCCGCAGACATGCCGCTGTGCCACTGGGGGGGGGGGGCTATTTGAACGCGGTGCATGAAAAAGAAAAGATCCCTCTTATCTTTACAAGAAGAGAGAATTCTGAATAGCACTGGCGTTTAAATTGTTTATGCAGGATTAGAGTAAATTAATCTATGAGACATTTTTCCCCCTGTTTATTACCTATAATTTTTGTGCGCTAACAATACCAAGCGTTGAGCGTGCTTATACCTGACTCGATGTTATGACTCATCAGGACCTGTACGAGCCTACCCTCAAGTTGAAATTCTTTTATGCAGGACTAGTGTAAAATAATATATAAGCCCTTGGGCGTGGTCAAATCCATCAAGTTTAACCTCCTGAGTTCAAAACTGTAATTAGATCTCAAATCGATCAAGAGATGACGGAGCTATAAGCTAAAAGTTTGCACTTGAAAACTCAGATCCATTATATGAGCCGCTATGCCGAGGCTAAAAAAAAGTGAATCAATATTAAGTTTTTTAGTATTCACGGATTCTCATCTCTTACAAGACGCCGCACTTCGCTTATCACTACTGGGTTACTACTTACTGAAGGTCTCTTTCTCGATGATCCTCGTATTTCAAGTACCCATATTCTTTTATTTTCAAATACCACTAAGTATAAAGAATATCGCAGTCTTAGAAATTCTAAATCCCCAACCTAAACATATATTTATGATCTGAGTGTATGAATATTTTCCGTTGGGAAGACTCATTACATACCAATCTCAAAAGCGATCCGTTTTTAGTAGACACTACCCACGTAAAGTCAAACAATATCTAATATAATTTTGATACATGCCTTTCCTCCGCTACCTTATACCGGTTCTGGTTATCATGTAACTTCCTGGTTTGCATATTGAAAACCATTTATAACTTACTCAATCACCTGTATATTCCCCTAAGTTTTAAAATTTCAAGATCATCAGTTTTTGATTTCTCATAAGATGTCTTCATCAAAATTTATCCTTACCTTTCTTTCACTATTCGTTGTGGCGGAAATATTATTATATTATATATTTATTATTATATATTTATTTTAATATCAACGTCTGTTTAGATTAATTTTATATTTAGAAACATACATAGCTTATAGTGTTAGATATCTATTGCGAAACTCCCGCCTATTCTCTAAAGTTGTAGAAGATTCTCGAGTGTAAGAATCAATAATATAAATTGGAGATATATTTAACTACTAAATTTAAATTATCAGTTAATTCAGTTTCAGAGCTTTCGAGATTGTAATAAGTAACAACGTGAATAAAGAACCTAATTATGCGACAAAGACAAACAATATATATCAATTTCGATTTTCACTGTTCACTTCTATAAACTATTAACGAATATTGTCATCCAAAGAATCAACACATGAAGAAATATGTTTTGAGCGTAGAAAAGTGTCTTGTAATTTTTATAGTTCTTACGATGTCTAAAACAGTGTTATGTTCTTATTAAAAATAAAATACTTACTACACATTACATGGCAGTACACATCGTTTTACTTTCTGCCTTCCAATGGCACAGTGCTAGAAACCAAGTTTCGATACCCGTGGTGGGCAGGGCACCGATAGCCTATTGTGTAGCTTTATGCTTAATTCCAATCAAAGAAATAAATTTTGCTTTCTCTGGAATTAAAAATCCCCGTTTTAAAATCTGGTGACAATTTAATTAAGTATTCAGAGTTTTAATAACTCACTTAGTTCTCGTTAGTTACTCACAATAGTATTAAGATACAGGAGAAATTAATAGGCCCCCTTCACGAGCCAGTGGGGGAAGATTTTTGTTGAAAAAAATACCCAATCCGGTTTTTCTTAATTTGAACTAAAATATTTTGGACATTATTAGCCAAAAAAAGAAGGCATTTCCCGCACTCTTTTAGCGTTGGAGCTGCAAAAAGTGATTTGAAGTGGTAAGGTGATTGAAATCCGTCAGTGTATCATGAGCTTAACGGCCAAGTACAAGAAGCATGGAAGTCTTCAAATGACACGCAGAGGTATTCAGGAACTGTTTAGAACCACCTTGGTAGATATTGTGCAGTAAGCCGATTACAATATTATGCCTGTAGCTGCTTTCAAAGTGTTTCCTGTCTGTTCATTCTACTACTAACTGTCGTGATGCTTCGACCGTCCTACCGAATCGCAGGTGAAATCGTTCGTATCTCAATTGAAAGCTAAACATAAAAAGGTGATAGCAGAAGTATAAAAGGTTGGCAATTGCTTAATTAATGCGACTGAGAATGTGGCTTTATTGATATTTACTGAATTTACTCCCAGCGGGTAGACCTTAATACTAGCTTGTAAGGAGGCTTCATGATGCTGTATTTCACTTATAAATTTATCAATTAACAAACGAAAACTTGTCTCGAAGTTGTCTCGAAAAGATACGTCCAAAACCACCCTATTTGAGAATTTCCGGATTGAACTTACTTTTAATTTCAACAAGTTGTAGTTTAAAGACACCCCTTAGCTCCTGGGGGACGTGTTCAAATGTCTAGGATTCAGATACACCTGTCAGTATTTGACTGGTTAAAAATACTAAAAACAACAAAATTACATCGAAGTCTGTTTAATAATACATTTATATTCTCGTATAGTACATACACCAGTACATCGTATATATATAACAAAATCGTTTGACAGATGATGTTAATTGAAGAAGAAATGCCTTAATTAATAATCGTTGGAGACGGCTTGAATGGGTAATGAAGAAAAACTTTAATATAAGTTTAACACAACAGCAAATGTACAACGTTTCGACAAGGTTTTGTCATCATCAGGTACAACCTTGTCGAAACGTTGTACATCTGCTGTTGTGTTGAACTTATATTAAAGTTTTTCTTCATTACCCATTCAAGCCGTCTCCAACCATCATTAGTCTGAAAGTGGGTTCCTCGAATTTGAAATGCCTTAATTTTTCTAATAATCTTCTTTATAAAATGAGATGTCATACAGACAGCAACTAATGTCTCTAAACATTTGTAGGGATGACAAAGTCAATGCCTCATGAACTAAAAATTGTTTCTTAATGACTGGGATATTTTTAAGTGTTTGTATCGTATTTCAAAACTAAGGCTATTGTAGGATGTGTAAGACAGGAAAGATGATACAACGTTGTATATAGTTTAGATGACAGCTGAAGTTGTAGTAGTGTATGTAAATATATAGTCTAGTGTAATATGAGGAGTTTTTATACATGTTTCCAAATCTTTTAGGTGTGTTCTCTTTTGTTTTGTTTTTTGTGGATACAAATATGGTGATTGATTTCTTGTGCCCCTTTGCACGGTAACAAAAACATATAATTTGTAAGTTACAAAATAAACAAGAAGGAATCCTTAATAGCCGTGGCACTTGAATTCTTTTAGGCAGGATTAAAGTAAATTAATCTATGGGACCTTTTTAGCCACGGCATAGCGGCTGACAGAATAGCTCTGCGTTTGTTTGTTTTTTCTAGTACAAACGTTTAGCTCATAGCTCAATCATCTCTTGACCGACATGAGATCTAAATACAGTTTTGGATTCAGGAGGTCAAACCCTTTCGATTGACGTAGTTGACCCCGCTCAAGACCTCATAGATTAACTTACTCTAATCCTGTCTAAAAGATTTTCAATTTGAGAGTAGGCTGGTAGAGATCTTGATGAGTAATAAATTCAAATCGGGTATACGCGCGTCCCACGTTTGGTATTGTTGGCGCACAAAAGTATAGCTAATAAAGAGGGAAACAAAAATCTCATAGATTAATTTACTCTAATCCTGCCTAAA